AGCATATGGGAAACACCCCCCTACACACACGCATTGCAATTGGGTGATAGAATTTTACCCTCTCTTTGCTTCTGGCAGTGGCCTCATTTCTTCCATGTTTCTGAAACTGTGGACCTCAGATTGGGACTTGAACCCACCATCTTTTCATCGAGATCACACACGTGGCCTCAGGTCTTAATGAAGCTCAGGTTCTTTTTTGTTTAAATTTATTTATTTATTTAGGCTGCTCTGGGTCTTAGTTGCAGCATGGGGACTTCTTAGTCGTGGCATGCAGGCTTCTTGGTTACGGCATGCATACGGGATCTAGTTCCCCGACCAGGGATGAATCTGGACCCCCGGCATCGGGATGAGGAGTCTTAACCACTGGACGGCTAGGGAAGTCCGAAGCTCAGGTTCTTGATGTCTCATCACAGAAAGAATCCAGTGAGAGACAAAGTGATAGGTAAGAAGTGGATGTATTTAGAGAGAAACACGCTCCACAGACAGAGTGTAGGCCATCTCAGAAGGCGAGAGGCACAGAAATATGGCATGGTTAGTTTTTATGGGCTGGATAATTTCATAGGTTAATGAGGGGGAGGATTATTCCAACTATTTTGGGGAAGGGGTGGAGATTTCCAGGAATTGGGCCACCACCCACTTTTTGATCTTTGATGGTTGGCCTCAGAACTGTCATGGTGCTGGTGTCTCTCTCTCTCTCTCTCTCTCTCTCTCTCTCTCTCTCTCTCGTAGCTTATGCTAATGTATTACAATGAGCATATAATGAGGCTCAAAGTCCAATGGAATTCAAATCTTCTGCCATCTTGGATCTAGTTAGTTCTAACCAGTTTTTGTCATGTCCTATGGCTATATCATTCTTTTAAAGGTTGTCCCCTGCCTCCTTCCCTCCTGTTTCAGTTCCAGCTTCTGGGAGACCACCCTTCCTTCTATGATCCTGGTTCCTGCTGGACAGTCCCTGCCTTTTCTCAGTGGCTTCTGTGTTTGCCTTGCTATCACACTTGGTCTTTCAGCAATTCTGACATCTTTGTAATTAATTTTCTGTATTAAACATTTTCTTTTGAACTACTTATTGAGAGCTTTCTTCCCTGACTGGACCCTGACCCATTTTCCTAACTGAATCAACACTTTAGAAGGACAAGGGGAAGGTAAAGGAGAAAAAAACACTGCAAAAGTGGTTCTACTTCCCAGAAGAGAAGGAACTGAGTTACTTTCCATTGCAAGTTTAAATTCCCTCCTCACAGCTCTGCAAATTAGCACAAATGGAAACTCAAAAGTGAGATCTAATTAAACATAGAAAATAAAGGAATTCACCTTTTTAGTCTACCCTGGTTTGGGACAGTTAAATTTCAACTCCTTCATAAATGTCATTATAAATATACATTTTCATGCTATTTACCTTACATTTAATTCCATATCAGCAGCATTTTTATGTACTATTATACAGCTGTCGTTTTAAATAATATTCCTATTAGTAACCCCATTGGGCCTATGTATCCTGGGAAGTAAAACCTCCATGTTACAAATCGATTAACATAGAGGTGTGTATAGTCCCAACTTGAGACTGTCACAGTTTCAAGAATATGGAATTGAGATCCCTATATTCTAGTCAGTCTCCATTAAGTGCATTAATGTTGCCTGAAAACTGGGTTCGCCTCTTGGTGGGTATCTAGCCAATAGACACAACCAAGCCAAAGGTTGGGAGAAGGAAGGACTTATTACTTGCAACAAGTAAGGAGAACACCAGGGATCTCTCCTAAAGCACTGTCTACCTGAACAGCAAAATTGGGGAAGTTTTAAGCTAAGGGTACATGCATATTCGTGAAGGGGCTTGAGCAGAGGAGAATTCAGCATAGAATTGGGGCAAAGGTTGACAGAGTCCAAGATTTAGTTGATTGAAGTCAAGAGGGTCAACATCACATTTCTTCCATCCTGCACCTGGTCAGGGCGGGGCGGGGCGGGGCGGGGGGGGGGGGGGGGGGGGGTGCTTAGTTCCTGCATCACTGAAAGATATATTATTATGTATATCCCTTGAGGAGGAACTAGGACTCTGTTTTATCACTGTGCTTTTCTCTCTTCCTGAATTCCTTTGCTCCCTTATGATCATTAATACTGAGACCTGTTCAAGGGCAAGCATTGTGGCCAGGCTCAGATCACAAAATGTCTGAGACCAAAATGGCTTCTCTTATGTCAAGAAAGCAGTTCCTGGTTCTCCTTCTCCGGAGACCCCCTTATTTATCTGCTTACATTAACTTGGAAGGTATGTTAACAGGAGCTGTGGGGCAGCCACCGTGTCCTTCCTTCCCCAGGCGTAGAAAGCCAATCTGTAGAGAGCAAACCAGCAGTGAAAAACATATTCTGAATGCAGCTAAAGTTGTTTCACTGGATAAACTATGCTGTCCTCAGAGGCAGAGCTATAGATTAGACCAGAAATGGCAAGAGATTTCAACAAATCAACTCACATTCCAAATTTTCTTTGATGATGTTTGAGAGAAAGTTATAGAAGAAAAAGATCCCTCTCCCCGTCCTTTGTCCTCCTACCCACCTTCTCCCTTCCTCCTCCTCCCTTTTTCTTTTTCCTTTTTTGCTTTCATTTACTTCACACATTTATTGACATCTTCTGTGCATTGTTCGGTTCTGGGCTCACCGCCAGGACAAAGGCAACTATTACAAGATTAGTTCTAGTATAACAGTGGAGGCAAAAGCTTCACACCAGTTTTTAAAAGCAAACAAAGCCTAATTTTTAGGGAACTAGAAGAACAGTTCAGAACATAACCACTCTTCCTTCTGTTCTTAAAGTTAATTATTCCAGCCATTTCCCCCTCAAAACATATGCATTTGTACTTCCTCAAAAGGAGACAATCTAAAGCCCCTTCCAGCTGTGCTTCTAGAGGCAATGTCACAAGACTACTATTTTTTCCAGTGCAATATCTCTTACTTCTTCCTTTAGTTGAGTCTTAATCTAGTCCAGTTTTGTTTGTTTGCTTTTGTTTGTTTGTTTTGGCCGTGCCCCATGGCTTGTGGGATTTTAGTTCCTCCACCAGGGATTGAACTCGTGTGCTTGGCAGTGAAAGCTCAGAGTCCCAACCACTGGATGGCCACGGAATTCCGCTGGTCCAGTTTTAATATCTCATCATCCTGCAGTGTTGTTTTTTTAAAAATTAATATTTTGCCACATTTGCTTTCTCACTCTCTGCATATGGTAATGAATTTTTTAAAATATTTATTTATTTATTTAGGTTGTGCCAGGCTTTAGTTGAGGCATGCACGTGGGATCTAGTTCCCCAACCAGGGATCGAACCTGGGTCCCCTGCATTGGGAGTTTGGAGTCTTACCCACTGGACCACCAGGGAAGTCCCATCCTGCAGTCTGAGGCTAAATCATAAATGTAATCCCTATCAACCACCTCTCATGTGCCACAATGCAAAACAAATACAACTACAATAAGAATTTCCATTTAGAACGTGGAGAAAGGAGAAGGAACCATAGAATATGTACCGTCTGCTGTTGGACAGAGTTAATGAAGCAAAGCACAGAACAACTGAGTCTCATGGTTGACTTGAGAGTGGTGAGAATCCCGTTGTCAATGAATCTGGCTCTCTGATATTACCTGCTGGGATAATTACTGTTGCCAGGGGAACACCTAAAAGGACATTAGCATAGACTAGCCTGTCTAAGGAGAAGGAAGGCGTCTATCTCATTTGCAATTCATTTTTTTGTTAAAGGTATTGGGGTACCAAAATGAGACTCTTCTTGAGACTCTAAGGAATTAGGACATTCTGCCTTATTGATTTTATTTTTACTTTTTATTTATTTTTAAAAATCAGCTTTACTGAAGTATTATTTATGTATGATAAAATGCACCTACTTTGATCATCTAGTTTGATGAATTTTGGTAAATGCTGCCCTGTTGATTTTAATGAATCACAGGCCTGTCACAGGTTGGGTTTCTGCTGGTGCTACATTTCTGATAAAACTGTAGTCATCTGTTTATCAGTTTCATTTTAGGGGAACTTCCTCACAGTAAACACCAAAAAATGTGTCAGGTCATGGGGCTGCTAAATTGAAGACAAGACTGGGCGACCCTCAGATTTTCTATTTGTTAGCAGCAACTCTGGGGATAACACATATCCAGGGCACTCTGTTTGACAAACTTTGTCTTAGGACAGTGTAGATGGAGAAACTGGCTGGGCTGGCAGAGAACTCTTGCTCTCTGTCTTCTAGAATATCACTCTACCCCCCAGACTGAATTCCAGTCCAATATACTTTGCCATGGCATTGCCATCCTGTTTGTCAGGAGGGGAGCCAGTGTGTGGCACTGTGGTACAGCTCAGCAAGGCAGGGTACCCCCAATCCTCCATTCATTCCTCCCCAGTGGCCAGGATCTCACCCTTTCTCAGTCAACGCTGTAATCTTACGCACAGGAAGGGAAGTGAATCAGGGAACTTGAGCTCTTCACTTTGGTCCAGCAGATGACTACTTTCTTGAGTTGGACCTCAGCATTCTCACTTTCCAATTCTTCTCTTTCTCTACCTGCATCCAGGAAAGTCTCAATAAGAGCATGCAAATTTCTTGTTGTACTTTATTGAAGGTACTCAGGAAAATGTAACAGTATCTGATTTTCAGTCTGGGTCCAATCAGGAAAGAGATTTGAACCAACAATTATTTGAACAGAGAAAGTTTAATATGAAGAATTTTTAACTCTACTAGGGGATTAACATGAGAAGTAAAGGGGGAGGGGATAAATTGGGAGATCGGGATTGACATATACACACTACTATAGGTAAAATAGAAAACTAATACGGACCTACTGTATAGCACAGGGAACTCTGCTCAGTACTCTGTAATGGTCTATATGGGAAAAGAAGCTAAAAAAGAGTGGACATATGTATATGTATAACTGATTCACTTTACCGTACCCCTGAAACTAACACCACATGCTAAATCACCTATACGCCAACAAAAATTAAAGTAAAAAAAGAGAACTCTAAAGAATATAGAGTTGAGTGCTTGCTTCAGCAGCACATGTACTAAAATCAGAACAATACAGAGAAGATTAGCATGGCCCCTGTGCAAGGATGACACTCGAATTCATGATGCATTCCGTATTTAAAAGAAAAAAAATAATAATACAGGGTTGAGATAGAGTACCCAAAGAAGGACTCTACCTCCACCTCCAGACCCTTGTCCAGACCTTGCTGGAGAAGGGCCCAGCTGTGGCTCACAGGATGGCAGAGAAGTCACTGTGGTGCCATGCTGTTGGAACTTGCTGGAAGTCTGTCCTCTAGTTTGCTTCAGGCAAACTCTTCCCTCCTGGTGGTCCCCAAAGGCGAAATTATTTAAGCTCAGGATATTTAGTGTGAAAAACAACAACAACAGTATTGTCAAACCCAAATTCCTGTGCCTGGTGCACAGTGAGACCAAACAAGCAAAAACATCAGAGTTTGGAGCAGAGAAAGGTGTGTTGCAGAGCCAAGCAAGGAGACGGACAGCTCGTGCTCAGAAAGCCCAAACTCCCTTATGGTTTTTGGGGAAGAGTTTTTATTGGCAAAATTTGGGGGGAGGGCGGCAGGGTGTACGACTTTCTTCTGATTGGTTGGTGGTAAGGTAACAGGGTGGCGTTCCAGGAATCCCAATTATCAGCCTTCTGGCTCCAATCATTCTGGTGTCCACATGCTTGTGCCCAGCCTGAAGTTACCATCCTCCACACTGAATGGGGGCCTTAGTTTCTGTAGAAGAGCTCAGAGATATATACCAGACTGCTATGCATATCCCCCCCAGGAGGAACCAGAACTCTGCCCCATGGCTGCACTATTCTTTCTGACTGCTTTTCCTTTGTTTCTGCATTCCCTCATTTCCCTGATTAGTAACAGTTTGAATCTGCCCTTTGGAACTCAAAGCAGGTCTAAGAGGCTGAAGTCTTTTTCCTACAAACGAGAAATGGGGAGACACAGAAAGGCTATTGTACCTGGGAGGGTCCCACAGGATCCTGCTCGGTTTCAACAGTACCCATAACAAAAACAAGAACTGCCTTCTCGTCCTAAGAGTTCCATCAATATTCCTATAAAGAAGTGATGCTAACTCAGACTGGCAACTCAAATCAGTAAATATCTAAGAGAATGTACAACTGCAAATGGGGGAAAAAACAAGCAAACAAAGCTGTGTGCTCTAAGTTTCATCAGAAGTCTGGAGAGAGACCTGGGGGTGGGGAAACAAAAGCAACAGGGAGAAGCATTGTTCAGTCTCTATATTTAAATACTTTATTTTTGAAACCTCAAGGGCTTCACCAGTGACATGATACTTCTTTCCTAAATTTCACCAACAATTGTAATTTCCCAAACTGGGAGGCATGGAACTATATATTTGGCATATAAATTGGTATTTGGTTTACCCACATACCAATTTTGTTTGTTTGTTTGTTTACTGTGGTTAAAAAAAAGAAGCATAAAATTTTCCATTTTGGGCTTCCCTGGTGGAGCAGTGGTTAAGAATCCGCCTGCCAATGCAGGAGACATGGGTTTGAGACCTGCTCCAGGAAGATCCCACATGCCATGGAGCAACTAAGCCCATGCACCACAGCTACCGAGCCCGTGTGCTACAACTAATGAAACCCACGTGCCTAGAGCCCATGCTCTGCAACAAGAGAAGCCACCACAATGAGAAGACTGTGCAATGCAACGAAGAGTAGCCCCCACTTGCCGCAACTAGAGAAAGCCCGCGTGCAGCAACGAAGACCCTATGCAGCCAAAAAAAATAAATAATTTTAAAAATAAATAAATTTTAAAAATTTTCCATTTTAACCATTTTAAACTGTACGATTCAGTAGTGTTAACTATATGTACCTTGTTATGCTATGCAACAGGTCTCTAGAACTTTTTCATCTTGCAAAACTGAAACTCTATATCCATTGAATAATTCCTCTTTTCACCCTCCCTCTGCCCCCTGGCAACAACCATTCTATTTTCTGTTTCTAAGAGTGTGACTACTTTAGGAAAAAAAATTTCGTTACAAATTTTTGGCCGTGCCACGTGGCTTGCAGTTTCTTAATTCCCCGACCAGGGATTGAACCCGTGCCCCCTGCAATGGAAGTGCAGAGTCTTAACCACTGAACCGCTAGGGAATCCCTCTAAGGTAGTTTTAAAATCAAAAAGCCTTGAGACTGAAATTTCTGGAGAACACGCTCTTGAAATACTGTCAAAGCATAGTATGATTTTATATATAAGACTTTGACCTTCTTGCATGTATTAAGGGTGTGTCAAGGGGACAAGGTGAAATACATTTAGAGGCATATCAAAATATAGTGGATATAAGAACTAAACATTTCCTTCATTTTATCTGATTACCTGGGTTTTATTTAGTCGTCTACAGTAACTCTGCAGCAAATTACTACACTGTATAATCTGGAGCAAGTTAAACTCAGCAACTGTAAAATACAATGTACAGTTGTCCTTCAGAATTAGTGCAATACCTCTAATATCACCGAATGAACGTGAAATAATACTGCTTGTCCTGTAGGAGCTATGTTACTGGACTGCTCACTGCTTTAAAACTCTGTCTAGGAGAGAAGCTGCCTAGTAGTTTGGCTCACTTGACAAGTCTATCTCTAAAAAGAAGAGCTGCATCTGGCTTGAAGACTTTATTCGTTAAGAACATCTTGCCTATGTTTCTCAAACTACAATTTATTCACTAATTTATTCATCAGGTATTTATTGAGTGCCCATAGATGCACTGTGCTAAGTTCTGGGGAAATAGTAATGAGCAAATTCAGACATAAAGTTGCTCTTTTTACTATAATTTTGCTCTCCATATAGACTTTATTAGTGAGGAAAGGATATACTGAGGAGCTAACATGAGTATTCTGATCCACTTGTCAACCACTCATTTTTCCGTTCAACAAACATATTGTTATGGCCTGATTTTCTGTCCCGCTCAAATGCATATGTTGAAACCCTAATCCCCAATGTAATGGTATTTGTAGACAGGACATTTCGGAGGTAATGAGGGTTAGATGAGGTCATGAAGGTGGTGCTCTCATGACGGGATTGGTGCCTTTATAAGAAGAGACACTAGAATGCTTGATCTCTTGCTCACTCTCTCTGCCATGTGAGGACACAGTGAGAATGTGACTGTCTGTAAGCCAGGAAGAGAGCCGTCACCAGAAACTGAACCCTGAAGGTCCTTGATGGCAGACTTTCCAGCCTCCGGAACTGTGAGAAAATAAATTTCTGTCTAAGCCACCCAGTGTATGGTGTTATGTTATGGCAGCCCTAGCAAACTAAGACACATGTATTGAGTTTCTAGTAAGGTCCTGTAAATGTAACCCTCGCCCTTAAGGAATGCCCAATCTCATGAGTATCAGTCATGTAAACAAAGAAATATAATGTGGTATCTATAGCAATGGAGGTGTGGTCCAGAGATAGTGTGGTCTAGTGATATAAAGGATGGTGTGATTGACTCTGCTTGGATAGCTCAAAGAAGTCTTCTCAGAGAAATTATGAAATTTATTATAAGGAGAGGTAAGATGCCACTACCAAATTGCTTTGTAATGTGTAAATTCTACCACCAACACCATCCCAGTGTGCCAGTTCCTCCACATCCTCTTTGCATGGGGGACCATCAGTTGAGAAATTTGCTGATAGACTGATTCAAAAAATATTTACTGAGAGCTTACACTATGTCAGACATTGTGTTAAGATAGAAAAATAATACATCACTATAGAGTTCAAATTAATAGCTTTAATTACTGTATTTGCATGTTTTATATGTGTGTTTTACTAGCTATTTCTCTCTATTCTTATTTATATTTATATTATTGCATACTTATTGTTATGGGTTGAATGTTTGTGTCCCCCAAAATTCATGCTGAAGCCCTAACCCCTTATGTGATGGTATTTGGAGGTGGACCTTTGAGGGTAATTAGGTTTAGATGGGGTCCTGAGCAGATTACTACTGTTATAAGAAGAGGAAGAGACCAGAGCTCACTGTCTCTGCCATGAGGATTCAGCAAGAAGGTGGCCATCAACAAGTCAGAAAGAGGGCCCTCACCAATAACAAAATCTGCTGACTTTGGCTAGAATTATGAGAAAAATCCTTTATGAGAAGATGACATTTGATCTGGGAGTTAAAGATTAGAAGGCAGCCATGTCAAACTCTGGGAAAGGGCTTTTCAAACAGAAGGAATAGAAAGTGCCAAGGTGCAGGAACCACTAATTTTGGTGTGCTTAACCTAAAGACGAGTGTGGCTGAAATGTAGGGATTAAAGGAGAGAGTAGAGATGAAATTGGAAGGATAGGCAGAGGCCAGATCATGAGGAACTTTGGAAGGGAATGGAAAGGCATTTAGATTTTATTCAAGTAACAATGGGAAGCCCTTGGTGCATTTTAAGCAGTGGGAAGGGGGTGGGAGCATGATCAGATTTATGCTTTTGAAGATCTCTCTGACTGCTCTATGGATAATGGTCCATACTGCCATAAGTGGAGGGAGGCCAACCGGACGTTTACTACAGGGATCCAGGAAACAGATGATGATGGTTTAGATTAAAATTGTAATCGTGGAGATAGTGAGAAATTGATAGATCTGAATGTATTTTGATGACTTGCTGATGAATCCATCAGAATTTCAGACATTCTAATTCTGTACATCTGGGGAGCGCTGAGAAAAATGCAGTTATACCAAGTAACCCAAGTGGTTCTGATGAAGGTACACAAGTATACTGAGAAAATACAGTGGTAAAGACTGAGCATGCACTTGGTGTTTCTTTTAATAAATAAGAAAAATGAGAAATGGACAGGTTTTTCATTTGGTAAACTGATCCCCAATTGTGAATAAAATTGATGAAAAAATTACCATGGCAAAAAAGAATATTATTTCCTGTTTTTAAAAAACCCAGTCTCATTTTGACTTTCACCCCTCCTTTTCAAAGATGTTTTTAAGATTTTTCCCCTATGGACCTCTGCTTCTCTGTCAGCTCTTCTCGGCTTGTACCTCCATGGTTGGCATTTATATCCCAATATCCAGTTCTCTTCTACCTGAAATTGCACTTCTCCAATGCCTTGAAATTACGTGTGGCCATTACTTTCCTTGGCCAATGAAATGTAAGTGGAAATGACCTCT